CTTGCAGAATTTAGTTTTGTGGCAACTGATATTAGAAAGAACTAATAATTATTTCAATCTCTCCTCCCAAATATTAGAAAATATATTCCTGAAAGTGAAAGAAAACTCGGTTCAAACAAGGAAATTGTATTTTTACTTCTATTTAATCATGTCTCATTCCTAGAGACTGCTTGGACAAATCCTTGCAATTTTCTTAGCAAAGTGTTTCAGAAGTGGTTTGCTATGCCTCCTTCCTCCGGTTCAGAGAAAGTGACTGGCCTAAGATCACCCAGCTGGCTTTGTACAAGCCTTTGTGCTAAGGTAAGACTAGAACTCATGGTCTCCCAGGCTCTAGCCTAGTGCCTTAAACACTACACCAAACTAGCAAGAAATGGTCTACATAGTAAGAAAAATTATAGATTCACATACCGTGTTTCTCCAACAATACAGCCTCCACCAATAGGAAGGCCCAGCATGTTTTTTGGGCATAAAATCAAATTAAGCCCCTCCCCCCAAATTTAGGCCTATTTTAAAATATGCAAAATAAGGGGGAAGGGCGGGGAGACTTGCCGTTAGGAGTGCCGTTAGGAGCGCCCGGAATTCCTCGCCACCAGCCGCTCCTAACGGGCGATCATGGCCAAGCAAGGAGAGCTCCCTACTCCCACCTTTGCTGCAGACACCTTTGGCACCCGCCGCTGTTGCTTTCCCTTCTGCCCATTACGCTGCCACGTTTGGAGCTGCCGCTTCCGTGTTTGCAGTGCCGTCACCATTTGGAGCTCCAAACGCGGAAGTGGCAGCTCCAAACATGACGGCGGGCGATCTTTTTATTTTGGTCCGCGCGAAGTTCAAAGCGAGCAAGAGAGGGAGACTGCGATGCCTCCATCCAAGATGGCAACCTCACTAGTGGATCACAACGTGGCTGGAAGCCCGAATCGGCGGGATACGATGGTGATCTTTTTGGAGCGAGAGGAAAGGAAGAGAAGAGTTGCGAGGCGTAATTTGCAGGAGGAAGTGGGTGTACCCCACGGCAGGCAGCCCAAGAAAGAACGGCCGGTAGGCAACGGAGAGCGTCCCGTAGCTCCGGAAGCAGCCTAGAGACGCGCCCGGGAAGAGGTGCAGATGCTGCCTTGTAGTCCCCAAGCCAACTGCATGCGCCGCCTTTAGTTATGTGCGCTCCGCGCTTTGGGCATCTCTGTGTGATCGCGACCCTGTCCTTTCCACCTGGCGCCCTTGCTGCTTTCTGGCTCTTTAGCAACCGGCTTCGTGTTTGGAGCACTGCCGCTGTTTGGAGCTCCAAACGGCGGCGGAAGCTCCAAATGCGGAAGCTCCAAACATGACGGTGGACGATCTTTTTATTTTGGTCCGCGCGAAGTTCAGAGCGAGCATGAGAGGGAGACCGCGATGCCTTGCTAAAGAGCCAGAAAGCAGCAAGGGCGCCAGGTGGAAAGGACAGGGTCGCGATCACACGGAGATGCCCAAAGCGCGGAGCGCACATAACTAAAGGCGGCGCACGCAGTTGGCTTGGGGACTACAAGGCAGCATCTGCGCCTCTTCCCGGGCGCGTCTCTAGGCTGCTTCCAGAGCTACGGGACGCTCTCCGTTGCCTACCAGCCCTTCTTCCTTGGGCTCCCTGCCGTGGGGTACACCCACTTTCTCCTGCAAATTACGCCTCGCAACTCTTCTCTCCCTTTCCTCTCGCTCCAAAAAGATCGCCATCGTATCCCGCCGATTCGGGCTTCCAGCCACGTTGTGATCCACTAGTGAGGTTGCCATCTCGGATGGAGGCATCGCAGTCTCCCTCTCTTGTTCGCTCTGAACTTCGCGCGGACCAAAATAAAAAGATCGCCCGCCGTCATGTTTGGAGCTGCCACTTCCGCGTTTGGAGCTCCAAATGGCGGCGGCACTCCAAACACGGAAGCGGCAGCTCCAAACGTGGCAGCGGAATGGGCAGAAAGGAAAGCAACAGCGGCGGGTGCCAAAGGTGTCTGCAGCAAAGGTGGGAGTAGGGAGCTCTCTGTGCTTGGCCATGATCGCCCGTTAGGAGCGGCTGTTGGCGAGGATGCAAGGGGGGGAATTAAGTCACCCCCCGAAAAGACGGCCTAGCCGTTTTTTCGGGGCTCAAAAAAAAAATAAGGCCCGGCCTTATTATGTGAGAAACACGGTACTTCCTAGACCAAAATCAAATGAAAATATTATGGCTTATTCTAATAAAGAAGTCAAACATTATGGTTTGTACATTAAAATGTATGAATCCTAAAATATACCCAAACACATTCAGACACAAGCTATGTAAGAAACACATTTGCCCCAAATCAATAATAACAATGTTACAAAAACTGTTTTGGGGTTTTTTGCTTGCACATAATTAATTTTGTATTTGCAACCAAGAAAGCCTGAAATTAATATATTTTATAGGATTTAGATTCTCAATGTTTAAAATCTGCACAAGAGGTTTGAATCATACTACTTTGTAGTGTGTAAGTACATAGTTTACAACTAATTGTAAAGTACATAGCTTACAATATTATGCAATGCATAATGCTATAATGTAGCAGTGGCTTTATATACAAAATTGAGCATGTAAACTCAGGCACTGTGATAGAACATTCTGTGTAAATTAGGCATTGTAACTTATTTAATGAATCATAATCTGCTGTGTGTGCATCCAACCTACACTGCATAAATGCTTTTTTTCCCTAACTTCTCTATTTCCATGGAAATTTTCTTTTTTGTTGTCATAATTTCAACAAAATCCTACAAAGTACATTGTGCTTAACAGTTTCAATTAAATTTGGCATTGGTCTGTATTGTCATTTTCTGCTATTATACAGAAAATATCCAGCTTGAACTTTCTTAAGATTGTAAATTGTTTCTGTGGAATGCTGTAAAAATTTGGTTTAAAGGAATTATATACTAACATTAAAAATATTGAAGAAGAAAAAAGTCTCTATTGACATTTATGATTGTTAATGCATCATCACAGACTCCTTTCTTTCTCCTCCAAAATTCAGAGCTTAGGGCTACTGTCAGACACTGGCTGTGAAGTTCTTGAAGATATAAAAATTTCATTAGAGGCTATTTCCCTCTGAATTGATTCCCCTCAGGGATCACCATAATGAGCATAGCTGTGGGATACAAGATGTATTTCTAAAACTAAGGTGCTGCAGGAAGTTATAAAGATGTAAAATCAATTTATTTTAGTTAAATTAATTGCATATAAAACAATGAGAAAAATCACAAAGCCAGTCCATCTCAAAAGACTTGCATGGCTCACTCAGCATGATTCTTCGAGCAAGAACTGTTCCAATATCTCAGAGGTTGCCACAAAGAAGAGGGAGTCAACCTATTCTCCAAAGCATCTGAGAGCAGGACAACCAAGGAGAAATTTCCTGACAGAATAATTAATCACTTGCCTCCAGAAGTTGTGAATGCTCCAACACTGGAAGTTTTTAAGAAGAGATTGGACAACTATTTGTCTGAATGGTATAGGGTTTCCTGCCTGAGCAGGGGTTGGACTCCCCTCCAAATATTCTAGTCTAGTCTAGTCTAGTCTAGACTTGTCCTGAATATGGTTTCTTGTACTTGTTTAACATTCTTCATTTTTGTCCTTCAGCAAGATTGTGACTTTGTCAGCCCTTGAGATTTCAGAACATTTTATTATGTATAATGCCACTGAACTTCACATCTCAGTAATAGATCAAAGCACAAATCTAAATTTATGAACATGTAATATGTAGCCATATCTATATATGCCTGTGAATGTGTTCATCTTTCAAACTTGCTACCCTTAATAACTAACAATTTAATGACAGATGCACCCTGCTCCCTTTTAATATTCCAAAAATGGAGTATCATCTGTTAAAGTTTAGCTTTCCATATTTTTTGTCAACAGCAAATTTTACTGTAGAAATGGTCCTAGTTGCTCTTTTTTAAAACAGTAATTTTATCTACAGAAGGTAGATGCAGTCATTGATAAAGACTTCATGTCATCATAATAAATTTACGGAATAAAACTTTTATTAAATAAAACCTCTGTTAAATCTGTAGGATTAGATTAGATCAGTGTTTCTAAAATTTTTGGGCCGAACCACTTCCCACTTTTAAAAATTTTGGCAACCCCTGAGAGGGTCTTTGAGACCACACTTTAAGAAACAGTTAAACTACTGTTAGACTACTTTATTCTAGTTAACTGGGATTGGCAACTTGTAAACATTTCTGATTTTCCTAGACTATTTTGTATTCTTCCAACTCAAAGCCATTTTTTAAAATTTTGTTTGCATTACAGATATAGTGACCCCATGTCCTTTATTATAAAAGACAGTCCTTTATGGTAAGAAAACTCTCTTTTAGATTTATTAATTTTTCAAAACCTGGTTTAACTTTTCTGATCCTGCAATGCTTATTATACAAATGGTACTACTTCATGCCCAATCTTTCACATTCATGGGAAAATATGGAAATGGATTTTTTTTTTTAAAAAAAAAAAAAAAACCTTTACACCTGCTGTTTGATTTTGGATATATTTATTAGAATATGTATTTGTGTAAAGTATTTCCCGGTTTTGCTCTTGAATTTTCCACAGCAAACCAAACTATAATTATAAACAATTGAAATTTATCCTTATGATGCTTTTTCAGATTTGTCCCCTTTTCAGATTTCTCTGTGATTTCCGAGAAAATATCATCACTATAACTAAACTATAGACCCCACATATGTTCTACCATCACACTCACACACCTGTGTGTGGACACACACACACACACACACCTGTGGCAAAGGACTAGTAACCAACAAGTGTTTACATTCTTAGATAAGGTTCTTCCAAGATGAAAGGACTCCCAGGCGCCACTGAATGTCTTGGCCTTGTTCGAACAATCTAACTGCTTTCCTCACAAAATGGTTGCTTAGCAACTACATAAACATGGAGGGTTCTAGTCCCTGTCACAGCCAGCTTCAGGTGACTGCTGTAAAAGCAGAAGGGACTGGCTGCTTTTAGGAGGCTCCCCTCCAACTGTGAGGGGATGCCAAGTCCTATTGTAGGGACATGGGTAAGCTCAACCATTGTGATGAGTGTGGTTTGTGGCTATACGTAGGGCCCCATCAGCAATTGCTTTCTACTTTCAAAGAGCAAAGAAGCACCTGCAAATATCCCCCTTTGATCTGGAAACTCTTTGCCTTAAAAACCTGAGGCACAGAAAGGCTGTGACCGGATCTGACCAGCCTCAAGTTTCCAGTCCTTAAGAGAATTGCAGGGTCCAAAATTCAACAGCCAATGGATGAGGCTTTCTTTTTGTGCTCATAGAGAAGGTAGATCAGTAACTGTATTAAGCTTCAGAGGGACTTGATTCATTGATTTGGTATATTTTTTAAAAAACCCTTAAAATTACAAACTTTGCCCTGCCTGCCATGGCGATCGATGCTCCCCCCTCAAGAAACCTTAGTGGGGAAAAAGTTGCTAAAGAGAATATTTCATACTTGTTATTGTTTCTTCATTTGAGAATTGAATCTTGGCCTGCTGTATCACAAATAAAGCTTTGCACATTAGTGTCACTGAACCAGGGCACGAAAGTGCCTAAGGGATGACACGACTCAGCTGTTGAGGTTAATTTGGTCTTGCAACAAATCAACCCAGTTCCAAATGGCAGGGATGAGGGCAGCTAGGTGACCCACTTTCACTTCTCTCTCCCCTGATAATTAAATGGTAGCCTTGTTTATATTGTGGGACGGTAAGGGATGATTTTAGTCTGGTGTTTCACTGCAGAAGAGGACAGAAATGACGAGGGTCGATTTGATCCAAATCCTTACAATTATCTCTGTACTGGGTCAGTCTTGAGCTAGCATCCTATGCATTCACACCTCTTTTTTCCTATTTCTGTTGCTACCTCTCTCCCCACAGTCTCACCGCTGGGCCCCTCTCCGCTTTCCTCAAAAGAAAATGATTAGGGAATAAGCCCTGTTGTTGCCTGGCAACCACAGCATGTTCATCTCAGGCAGAAAACAGGAGCCGACTTAGGCCAATGATAAAAATGACAATTGCCTTCCTGCCTCCCCCATAACCGTACATGGTCTACTTGTCTTCACTAATATACAGTGTATTACTGTATTGCAAACTTCCACCAAACCTCACCCCTCCATTCTTTATAACAATTCTCCAGGCTGTTAACAGTTGAGCAGACAGCTAGGAATTCTCATCTGACCATTTAGAAGGCTACTAGATGTTTCTTTTTCTTGATTCTGATTTCTTAGCCTTTATTTTCCATTAGAGCTGCCATTCTTTTCCCTCTTAAGATTTTGAGCAACTGAATACCACACCAACTAAGTGCCGTGCAGGAAGATTTCTACTGTAGTGTGTTCCAAGGAAGAAGTGAAAGATGAGTTACAGAACAGGCAAATATGGATTTTACATATTTATTTTACCATTCTAGCAACTGAGCCCTTAACTTTTAATTTTTGGGGTACTACTTAAGGAGGGTATGTTTCATTTTAATTAATTTTATTTTTAAAAAATTATAATTACAAAATAAGAACTAATGCAAACCAAAAAAGAAAAAAAAGATAAAAACAGAAACTACTGAAAAAATAGACATAAAAATAGAAAATATTGAAAAAAGATTGTAGAAAAGAAATACATAAAGAAATTATTTACCCATTCTTTGTAATTACAAATAATTTTAGTAACTTATCACCTTTTAATATACAACAAATGATTTCTTCTTCCCTTATCCCAACTCTTAGCTATAAACAGATCCTTAAAGCTTTATCATTCAGTCCTGATCAGCAAAAGACCATTGTTACCAGACATAACAGCATATATCTATTGAAATATACCTATTTTAAGCTTGATCAGATAAACTAACTTTATATTCCTTACTTTTAACAATCTTGGTCACAAGTCCCTTCAAATAATGTCCTAGAACTTTATTTCTTTTAATTTTTTTCTTTATTTCTTCTCACAAAATTCTTCACTGTTTCAGCAAGACTATTTTGGAAATCTAATGTAGGAAAATTATCCAGGTCACTCTCTTCATTTGTTATTTGTACAGTATGTCCATTTTAATTATTAAGACATCAACTTGTTTCTTTTGCATGCTCAATCTTTTTCAGTCTTTTTCCATGTCATTCTTGTAGCCTGTTATTTTTACATCTACTTTGAGATCAGCCTCAGTCTTATATAAAACTTTCATAACATCTTTTAAATACAGTCTTCAAACACAGTCTTTAGAATACACTCTATAGACTGTACACACTCTATAAAGACAAATGCCCTTAAAATTAACTTCCAGGTCCATTGTTGAAAAATATACTTTAGTGCGTCCATTGTTCATTCTGTATTAGTAAAGAATCCTTGACTTAAGATCATTGGAGCCTGGAATTTCCATTGTCAGTCATGATGGTCGAAAGTCAAAGCACCCGTGTGAGCTGATTTACAACTTTTTGTGGTGATCATTAAGTGAATAAAATGGTCATTAAGTGAATTCAGTATTTGTTAAAGCAACACAGCAGTAGTTAAGTGAACACAGTGATCATTAAGCGAAGCCATTAATTCCTATGGTCTTTATTGTCAGAAACTTACTATAAGACTAGAAACTTGCCAAAAACGTAATAAATTGGGTCACATTACTGTGCAACATGCAATCGGCTATAACAGTGAGCCAGTTGCCAAGTGTCCACAATGCATCCATGTGACTGGGGTGTGGGGGCGTTGCTGCACTTAGAACTCAGGACCTGGATTCTAAGTGGCATTTGGGGGTCCATTGTAACTTCAATAGATGCTAAACAACCAGTTGTTAAAAAAGAAGTACCTATAAGTCAACTTTCTCCTTTAATTGTAATCTTTAGTTCCTCTGGTTCTCTCTAGTGTCCAATCTTCAAAGTCTCATCCTATCATATTTTTAAAAGAGAATTTTAAAAAATGGTTTCCCATGGGAAGGATTCTTATAACTAATTCCAAAATCTTATTTCAAATCCACCTGAACTCTTAATCTGTTTGTAACTCTCCAAAATCAAAGTTCTAATCACCCTTTTGCCTTTTGCCCCCCCACTTGTGATTGTAGGACTGTAACTTTGTCGCTTGTATCCGTACGATTTATATTGACTGCTTCCTAATATGATTTGATTGTTGATTGTACCCTATGACTATCATTAAGTGTTGTACGTTATGATTCTTGATTCTTAATGAATGTACCTTTTCTTTATGTGCACTGAGAGTATTTACACCAAGACAAATTCCTTGTGTGTCCAATCACACTTGGCCAATAAAGAATTCTATTCTATTCTATTCTATTCTATTCTATTCTATTCTATTCTATTCTATTCTATTCTATTCTATTCTATTCTATTCTATTCTATTCTTTGAAAATAATGTTTTGTAGTCCTTAACCTTGTATTATTTTGCTAAGGTTTGAGAGAAACTTACCTAATATTGTGAAACTTGTCAGTTCAAAGGTTTCTAAAACTGAACACTAATTGACAAGCAATTTTCAAGTGATTAAAAAGGTATGTGAACCTAGTGACCAATGCCAATCATAGTTTGAGCAAGAAAGATGTAATATTTCAGACTATGCAACAACTGGTTGCATAGAAACAACTGGACAACCAGTGACCCATTGGGTCATAATTTCAGAGCTATTTTCTTTTCTAAACAGAGAAATAGCATGATCGCCGGTGGGCAAAAAATTTAATGGGAATAATTTTTGACTTCTTGTTAGCTTCCTCATTGAGTTTCCTTGTGGGACGCTGCCAATGAGCATCAGAAATATTTCTTTTTCCTTCCTCTTCCTTCTTTTTCCTTCCCTCCATCACCTGTCCCCCTTCCCTTCCCTCCTCTCCCTCCCTCCTTCCTGCCCTGCCCTGCCAGACTGCAGCTTACTATTGCTGAAGCAGCAGTAGCTTGACAGGACTAAAGCAGCCACAACTTTCCCAAATTTCAATCCCTCAAGAGTCATAGGTCCTGCATTCTGTACCTTAGTCCATTTGAGCTGTCTTGGTTGAAAATGTGTTGCATAACGATGCACCATTTGTCCAGTTAAGGTTTACAGACACGAGAGTTCTGGTAGTATATAGATTATATTATATTTGTGTTCCAAATGTACATTTTTAACTATACGACAAGGTGACTAGTTGCTAGAAAGAAAATGAACCATAAAGTAAAATGCTAAGATTTGGAATTTGATAGCATTTTAAATCAGGGGTCTCCAACCTTGGCAACTTTAAGACTTGTAGACTTCAACTTCCAGAGTTCCTCAGCCAGCAAAACTATCTAGGCTCAAATATACAATAGTGCTCAAATAAGTATTAACTTTTCCTCCATTGTGTTGTTGGGAGTTGAGCAGCATGTAAGTTTACTAATTAGTTGCAATCAGTCAGATGTTTAGATTGGATTTAGCATTTATATCCACATATTAGATCCTTTCTAAGGAGCTGGTATAAACAGATGTTGTTGTTTGATGGTGTTGATGTATCATCACAGGATGTAGCTGTTTCAAATAAAGCTGCCTTTTGCAATTGGCTGATGGTGATTTTGTTAAGGCTGACGGTGTTCAAGTGGTACTCCAGATGTTTTGGAATTGCACCCAAGGCACCTGAAACAATTAGAACTATCTTTGTTTTCTTTTGCCACGTATTATTATTGTGGTTCATTGCATATTCAGCCAGATGCTTAGACTGGATTTGACATTTTTATCCATCTATCAAGTCCTTCCTAGGGATCTGGGATAGACAGATGCTGTAATATTATTATTATTATTATTATTATTATTATTATTATTATTATTATTATTATTATTATTATTATTATTATTATTATTATTATTGTTGTTGTTGTTGTTGTTGTTGTTGTTGTTGTTATTTCTGAATTCCAGAAAATATTTTTTAATATTTTAATATTTTACATTGGGCCCAGATTCTGCCGTGAAGCAGCATGCTTAAAAAAACCCGTACTGTGATAGTTTGGTCTTTTCTAGCAAACCTTCAATGAAAGCAACTCATTTTCAAATTCTGTTCATCTGTAGAGAATTTTCCTAATGTTTTTCTGAAAATGTCCTACTGTAAATATTATAAACAATATTTCTTCTGCCTGATTTAGAAATACAGCTTAAGGAAGCGTTCAGATTATTCTCTTTCAACCCTTCCTTCGGTAAACTAATAAATTAAGAAAAGCTGAAGGACGTGTTCTAATCACAATATACCCTGGGTGGCATTTTCTATGATATATACTGCCATATTAGATGAAATATGGAATTGTGTATTAGCTGTAGCCCCGAGAACTGTCTACAAATGTCAAAAATGAGACTCAGAGAAAATGGTGCAGAGAAAACTAAATCTTTGTCTCCATCTTCCATTCCATTCCATTCTTTTCCAACAGCACAAATACTGAATCACCAGATTTTGCTTTGTGACTATTGTAAAATCTTGCCCACAAAAGAGGTGTAGAACTCCAACATATCATGGCATTCACTTTTTAAAAACATTTTTTTTATCCAGTAAGGTCAATAAAAATAAGTTGGAAAATCAAAGGGCAAGAATCTAAACTTTGCTTTGGGATTTAATGTCATGTCTGATAATCCAAGATCCTTTTTGGGCCTATCATCCATAATTACAAGGATCTCAGCTCTCCTCTTTACCAGAAATAGCTTCTATTTTCTAATTCTGATCGACAGTAAATTGTTGTCCTGGCTTTTGTTCAGGGAATGGTATTGCTAAGAGCTTGAGTTATTAGAGTTGTTGTTGTTGTTGTTGTTGTTGTTGTTGTTGTTGTTGTTGTTATTATTAGAGTAGAGGCAAGTTAAACTTCTATGTGGATGGATATCACTTATCCACAATATAGATAATTACATCTGAAGAAACACCTCCTCAAGGAAAAAAACAGTCCAGTTGCCTTTTGAAAAAGCACCTCTGAGACACTTGATCAGATGCACAGAGTATTATTCTGAGACAGAGAAGTACAGACGTGTTTAGAGTGGAGAGAAAGTAGGAGAATTAAATGGAAGAAGTGCAGTCCCTGAATATTGTGTTTAGACAATGGCTGTTCACAAAAGAATTGTTAGGCGTAATATCTTGCCTTGATCAATTAATATTTATAGTGTGATTTAAAAAATTAAAAGTTCTGGCTCAGTAGCCCCATTATGAAATTGATTTTTGTAAATTCTTTGCTCAATAATTTCCTGCTTGAGGTCTGTGATGGATTTTCCTAGGAACTGATTTTTGGATATATAATCTTGTGGCATTGCATTTTGTCTCTGTTCTTTTATGTAAGGATTAGCCAATTTGTCCAATCTAGTGTAATGCTAACAGAAGATTGGACATGCCACATTCAAAAGCTTGCAGTTGCATGATTCCACAGTGTTGTGGGACATGGTACTAAGTTTTTATAACAGAGGAAGGGTAGATATAGAGGTATTCGGGTCTGCTGCCAAACTTGGTTCCTGCATTGTAATACAGGGACATGGCCTGTTATTCTAAGTAGTAAATCTTTCAAATTTGGTATCCCCAATTAAAGTGCTGACCCTTGAGCAAAGAAATTACAAAGATGAACTCCACTATGAAATAGCTGCGTTAAAATGTATTAAGAGATTCAGTACCATGTCTCTTTGTAGCATATGCTGTAACCAACCTTTGTTAAAACCTTTCAACCAAGACATTATTGTGAACCAAGCAGCCACCAGTGGAAAATAGCTAATATTAATGAGAGAATCCTGAAACAGGGAGATTACATTCAGGTTGAATTTTAATGGTTTAATGGTTGACTTGGGAAGCTGCCTGGATTTCTCCAAATACAGGTAATCCTTGAATTATAATCATAATGAAGCCTGCCCGTCATGTCATAACTGCCCATTACCACGCGATGGTGGCAAAAATGTATCAGTCATGTGATTGACCCTCTTTTACGACTGTTTTTGTAACGGTCATTAATTGAACACTGTGGTCATTAAGCATAGCTTAATAGGATCGTGGGATGCTTGCAAACAGCCATAAATGCACCTGGCTGCCAAGCACCTGAAATGCAGTCACATGACCATGGGGGGGCGGGTGAGAGAGATCATTGGAACTTTGAATCTGAGTAAGTATCCCGCAGATGGATCAAACAGTCACTAAGTCACCAGTCGTAAGTTGAGGACTAGCTGTAACATTTCTTCACCTGATTCTTTGTCCCTCTCTGAAGAGCAACTCTTTTGACCAAACGTTAAGAGTCATAACAAATCCTTTTAAATTCTTTCTCTCAATTGTCAAAGACAAAAACATGACTTCCCCTGGTTTTATAGTATCAAGCTAACCAGAAAGTTTGGAGCATCCGTGCGATCCTATTGCCCAGTTACTAATTAGGGACTCCCTCTTGCTTATCTTTCTTTAGCACGCCAGTGGTTTCTATGGCAACCACAGAAGCAGATGCAGGAGTGACTTCAACCAGGAGTATCGAAAAGCAGCCCGTCCGCAGCCTCCTGACATCTTTTTGAAGAGGATGAAGGTGAGTGAGCGGCAGTCTGTCTTGTTGCTCTCTCTCATAGAGCTGCCAGAGAAGGTGAGGGAAGGTGGCACAAAAGGCTTCACCCTTGCCAGCATGCCTTTCTGTCATTTAACAGGTACAGGTAGCCCATCGACCTACAACAGTCCATTTAGTGACCGTTCGAAGTGACCACGGCACTACCATTTTTCACACTTTGTGACCATGGCAGCATCCCCATGATCACGTGATTTACATTCAGATGCCCTGACAACTGGTTCGTATTTGTGATGGTTGCCGTCTCCCGGGGTCATGTGATCCACTTTTGCAACCTTCTGACAAGCCAAGGTAATGGGGAAGCCAGATTCACTTAACGACCGTGCTATTCGTTTAACAACTTCAGTGATTCACTTAACACATGTGGCAAGAAAAGCCGTAAAATGGAACAAAACTCACTGAAAAAAATTCTCACTTAACAACATAAATTTGGGCTCAATTGTGGCCCTAAGTTGAGGACTCCCTGTAATAGAATAAAGGATTTTCTGATCTCTAGTAACAGCTTGGTTTTGCTCAGAGACAAAACATGCATACACTGGTAGTTTGCCCCTCTGTAAACTCTGAGCAGATAGAAAAACCTAGAGTTCTGGGCTTCAGAACTTTACTTGATTAGAGCAGTTATTAAAATCTGACACCCGTCTCCAACTCCTGCTGTAAAAAAACCTACTTTTTAAATGTGGTACTGCACAAACTGTTTTTATCTCCTGGTTATTTTTTTCTTTCCCTTTCCAACCCTTCTTTGCTCTTAGCTAAAGTTCAAAGCCTAAAGAAAATGGTAAATGTCCTGATAGAATATGCTGGAGTTGTTTATTCAAATATGGGTGTGATCATGAATAGTGGTAAACTATATCTAAAAGTAGCCTAACTGACAGGTTGCCACATAGCATGCAGCTGGTTATCCCACCCACCCCTTGTTAGATATAGGTTTAGTGCTTTTCAGGAAGAGCGGAAAACATAGGTTGAAAGATAGCCCAATTGATAGGTCCCAGGTGTGGCAGAGGAGTTCAAAGAGAATCAGAATCAGAATAGAGCTGGAAGGGACCTTGGAGGTCTTCTAGTCCAACCCCCTGCTCAAGCAGGAGACCCTATACCATTTCAGACAAGTGGCTGTCCAGCCTCTTCTTAAAAACCTCCAGTGATGAAGCATCCACAACTTCTGATGGCAAACTATTCCACGGATTAATTGTTCTCACTGTTAGGATGGTTTTCCTCAGTTCCAGATTGCTTCCCTCCTTGATTAGTTTCCATCCATTGTTTCTTGTCCTGCGCTCTGCCCTCAGTTGCTTTGGAAAATAAACTGACCCCCCGCTCCTCTTTGTGGCAGCCTCTCAAATACTGGAATACTGCTATCATGTCTGCCCTAGTCCTTCTTTTCTCTAGACTAGCCAAACCCAAATCCTGCAAACATACTTCATGTTTTAGTCTTCAGGCTTCTTGAGCCTGGGAAGATTTGAACTGCCAAATTCCAGGCAGCTGGCAGTCAGGCAATCGGAAGTAGCCTGCAGTACCGCACTCTAACCACTGTGCCACCGTGGCCCACATACCTGTAGCACCACAAATAGCAGGTAGGAGATGGACAAATACCAGCCCCTGACAATGCCAGGGTGTCAGGGGAAGGAAGGCAGGCTCCTTTAAAACAACAAACGGTAGGATTTAAACTGCATTTGAGGGAAGCTGGGAATAAGATAAAGATGATGTCATCAGACTATGCCCTTCTATAACAAGAGTTAGTAACAGATCCTTATGCCATGGTTAGCAAGACATGAGGATGAACCAGGTGATTTTTACAGTCTGCAAGAATTTCAAGGAAATATATATGCTTTATATATATTCTTGTACTTTTTGTATTAGGTTTATCTATCTTTCTGTCTATTCTGTCCCTCCCTCCATCCCTCTCTCTCTTGTTTCTATCCATCCATCCACCTACCTACCTACCTACCAAACAATGTGTGTGTATAAACTGAGAAAACTGCACTTCTGCCATTTGGCAATTTGACTTGCAATTTCAGCAACACAATTTTCCATGATGCTGAAGACTGTAAAAAGACATTCAAAAATATAAATGTAGGCCATCTATGGTTTGGAAAAAAACAGGGGGTTCTATGCCCTTACCAATCTTAGCCCTTTGCAATCAATGCTGGAACTTGTAAACTAATTGGAATATATATTTTTATAAAGTTCTATTGTGATTCTAATTCTATTCTTCCCTCATAAATGACAGCATAACTGACTAAAAGAATTGGATCCCTGCCAGCACTATGATTGCCACAGCAGAGGCATCTGGTGGAAATCACAATGACATTACATACATCACAAGATCATCATGCAACTGAAACAAATAATTTGCATCAGTTGTTTTATGATACAAATGATGCAGTACATAAGCTATATCATTTGCACAATGTTGTCAACACTTGTAAAGTGTTATTCCCCACCTCCACTCCTTAGAAATCCAGAAAGGATGCAAAGTTTGGCAAGAAAGCACTTAATTTTTTATTCTTTATTTCTTTATCTTATTTGTTTATTAAACTTATTTGTTGCCCATTTTGCTGCAAGGCAACTTTTGAATGCATTACCTGAGTGCAAGGGAGGTGGGGGAGAGGAATTATATTTGTATATTCCAGGATAAGACTTAATTCATTACTTGTCAAAATCTAATCTATAAACCAGGGGTCAGCAGTTAATTTTCCCAAGGGGCCACATCAGAAACTGGAATTATTGTGGAAGGCTGAACCAATAGGGCTGTGAAGATATGCAGGCATGCACACATGCACATATGTAAAGTGAAACAAAAAGCAGTCACCTTCAAAATAAAAGCAATCTAAGTGGGCTGGACAGGGACAGCCAAAGGACCAGATGTGGCCCAGGGGCTATAAAATGCCCAGGTCTGCTATAAACGGAAAGAATTATACTGCAGCGTATGTTAAAATTTAAAGCAAGTTTCTGATGAGAAAAAGTTTATTAGAAAGTAACATTTTAAAAATTATTTTCCTATTGTTGCTGGTTGAAGGGATTCTATACTGAAAAGAAGAGTTTAAATACTGTATATCCTTAAATGTATTATGTAAATAAGTTCTCTTGAAGATCTTTCATTACCCAAACTAGGTAACATCATCAGTGCTATTTTTTCCTCTATCAAATGCCAAATATTCCTCTATCAAATATTCTCTTTTATACAAGTCAAATTCTAAAGGCATTAAGTGAAGATCGATGGGAATTCTCCTTCTTGCTGCTATCTGCTTATGAGAAAGATATTGAATCAATTGCAGGCAACTTCATTTCAGCTCATTTCAACTTCAGGAAAGACCTGATAAAAAGAAGTATCTTATTGCTTATATGAATTCTGCCTGCTGGGATTTGAGGTAGCAGTTAACCTGTATTTAATTGCCTGGGCTATAGCCTTACCTTGGATATTGTAGGTTAGATTCTTGCCACCATATTTGGGCAATGATAGCATTTGTCCCCAGTACAGGTAGCCCTTCCCTTATAACCACAATAGAGCCAAAAATGTCTATTGCTAAGTGAGATGGTGGAAAAGTGACTTTTGCCCATTTTAAGATCTTTCTTGCCACCATTGTTAAGTGAATCACTGCCCTTGTTAAATTAATAACACGGTTCTTAAGTATTTCTGGCATCCCCATTGACTTTGCTTGTCATCTTTGTGATCATCTTTGTGCAAAAGATGATCACATGACCCCAGGACACTGCAACTGACTTAAATATGAGTCAGTTCCCAAGCATCTGAATTTTGATCACGTGACCCAAGGGATTATGCAAGGTTGTGAGTATGAAAACAGTCATGTCGCTTTTTTCAGTGATGTTGTAACTTTGAACGGTCTCTAAATGAACTGTTGTAAGTTGAGGACTACATGTAGCAGATAATGGCAGCTGCCTCCTAATTCTCTTTTTAGAACCACAGAAATTTTGACAACAGGTAAAATCTGTTGGGTGCATCTCTCTCCCCGTGCCTGGATTTCTGTCATCTTGTTGCAGAAATCAGAAATAAAGCATCAGTATACCACAACTAGGCAGCATAAACTTAGGTAGCAGCAAATAATTAATGTTTTCTGTATCTCTTTGCAACCAGCCCAGTTGTTGTCTGGATTTTTGTGGTTCAGACCCGGTAAGTTTAATTGAACATCATATTGTGATAGCAGATTTAGCTTATGCGATTCTCTATCTGCCTTGGGTAGATAATCTCTGATCCTTTCAGTTTGCTAGAGAAATCTCACACTGCTGATTTTCTAATCAAAATGTTAGCTCTTATTTATTTCATACAAAAAAAATGTTAAAGCCTGATAGGTACCAGTGGGGTTCTAATGTAATTTCTGGAGCTGAGGTCAAATGCTACAGATAGGAATTCCAGACACTTGGTATTTGTGTTTGTTTAAAGTAGATGATTCTGTTCTTATTCCTACAGCAATTCAGCATGACAATTTGCACCTGCTGAAAATTCCTGCTTTTAATAGAAGAGAATATTTGTAGTTCAGGATTGAACTGTGGAGCCCTTGGTGATGAGGTTGTCTGTTTACTTGCAGACATTTTATTACCTGACTAGGTAACTTTATCAGTATTAGTGAGTGTGGGGTTTGCTTTGTATTCATAAACAATTGTTTTCTGTTTGATTGTTTGTGTGTGTTAATCCCTGCTTATCTGAGCATAGGTTGTTGGAGAGGCAGTATTCTGGTGTGTTTTTGTTTCCTTCCTAACTTTTACATTGTCTCTTTTGAGTGTGTATATGTGATTTATCTCTATGTATCTGATGAAAGCTGATTTGTCTGAATGCCAAGCTTCCAGGAATTCTTTAGTGCTTTTGGATTTAGCTTGGTCTGAGATGTTCATAGTTTCCCAGCTGCAACTATGGTTCAGTCTGTCCATGTGTTGTGAGGTTAAGATTTTCATCACATCTTCTATTAGTTGATGTTCACGAATGCACTCTCTAGTTTTCTGCTTGTCTGTCCTACATA